AACTTGGACAGAGTACACTTCACTCCCTCGTCCAAGTCGCTGATGAAGAGGTTAAAGAGTATCGGTCCAAGGACCGAGCCCTGCGGGACCCCACTGCCCACACCCTTCCAGGTCGATACCGACCCGTCCACCACGACTCTCTGGGTGCGACCCTCCAGCCAGTTAGCGACCCATCTCACTGTGTAGGTGTCGACACCACAGTCCCCTAGTTTTTTAATGAGAATGGGGTGAGAGACAGTGTCAAAGGCTTTCCTGAAGTCCAGAAAGACTACATACACTGCTACCCCTGCGAGTAAGGATTTTGTGCCCTGGTCGTAGAAGGCCACCCGGTTGGTCTGACAGGACCTGCCTCGAATGAACCCGTGTATAATGCTCCCCGGTGATGTCCCTCCCTTCCATTGGGTGCACACCTCCTTTTTAACTAGGATCGCTGCAGGGAAGCGGCTCTTATCGATCCCCAGCCATTGTCCAACCTCTTACTAAAACTATCGGCCATCCTGACAGAGCACAAGACATCACCCCCCAGCCTGCCATGGGCAAAGCTGCTGCAAACACTGTTAAGAGATCCCAGGCAGAGGACCACCCCGGCATTACAGAGGAAGGTAAAAACCTGCACAGTCCACACCAATCTGAGCATGGGGTTAAACTCCTTCCTGACCCCAAATGTGGCGCCAGTCTGACCCTGAGCAGAGGGGCAAGACCCTCCAGCCAGGAACCTCCCGCTCTGCAGGAGCATGGGCACAGCCCCGTCAAAATCCCCACCTTGGCTGCAGCCAGCACCCAATGCCCCTGAGCAAGGCTTAAAACACCTTGCCCCATGCAGCAGAAGCCCAGCAGCGTGGGAAATACCCAGAGGAGAAGCCGACGGCATGCAGCCACGCTGACAATGCACTGGAGACATGGCCATCCTACTTCTCTCTCCCAGATATTTCCCAGGCACCTGTCACGGTGGGATCTGCATCCTGATTTGGTTTCAGTGAGATTCAAAGCTGATCAACAGCCCCCAGGAATGATTTAGCTTCACCGGTGGCTGCAAAGGTCCCACGCGATGTTCAAGGTGCACAGTTAGTCAAGGAACTACTTGAACTCCACAGAAACGAGGCAAAGACATAAAGGTGGGGTTGTAAATGCTCCTGCCTATGAACCGTCCCACAGGAGGGGCCCTGGGGGTTATTTGTCAACATGAATTTATAGTACTTGGCTTGGGAGAATTAAAATCTTGGGTATACCGGATCCCAGCATCATTTCCTCCATAATTGAGGCACGTGGAAGCCACGGCCCCGAGTGCTGGCCAGATTTGAAGGTCACGAGTGCCCAAAGTGAAGCCTGGGCCCAGTGTCGGCATCTACGTCCAAAGGTGAGATCCCCAAACCACCCACCCAGCTGCCCTCTAACCTTGGAGGCAACCAAACACTGTAGGCCCCTGAATTTTTAGCGCTGAAGTTTCCAGGTGCCTGGAGCGGTGCCCCCGTCTTGTCAGGCCCGAAGAACGTGGTGCCTTGCTCACACTTGGCTAGCCCACCTGCTCACGCTTGGCTTGCTCACGCTTGGCTAGCCCACCAGCTCATGCTTGGCTTGCTCACGCTTGCCTAAAGAACTTGGTGCCTTGAGCCCCGCCAGGATCCACACCCCAGGCATCCCCCGCCCAGCTCAGAAAGCCCCCGCGGAGGTCGGCTGCACACAAAACACGCAGTGATGGGATACGGCCCCTTGTGAAATGCAGGGATGGCCTCTGGGTTCTTCCTGGGCATAGCAAAAGGAGGGGGTGGTGGCGGGTCCCCCCTTTTACACAGTAACTCCATGATTAGGGTGCTCACCAAGGCCCAATTTGAAAAGGGATTGAACAAAAAAAAGCGGGGTGCGGGCATCAGGACAGGCTGGGGGTGACAGACTGGGCAGCAGCTCTGCAGAAAAGGACCTGGGGGGACAGCACGCAATAAGATAGAGATGAGCCAGCAGTGTGCCCTTGGAGCCAAGAAAGCTCCCGGCATCCTGGCCTGCATTGGTAGGAGCATTGCCAGCAGATCAAGGGCAGTGATTCTTCCCCTCTGTTCAGCACTGGGGGGGCCACATCTGGAGTCCTGTGTCCAGCTGTGGGCTCCCCACAACAGAAAGGATGTGGACACATTGGAGAGAGTCCAGCGGAGGGCAATGAAAATGGTTTGGGGGCTGGGGGACAGGACTTGTGGCTGAGGGAACTGGGCTGATTTAGTCTGGAGAAGAGAAGACCGAGGGGGATTGAATAGCAGCCTTCACCTCCCTGCAGGGGGGCTGTGAAGAGGATGGAGCTGGGCTGTTCTCAGTGGGGGCAGATGGCAGGACAAGGAGCAATGGGCTCAGGCTGCAGCAAGGGAAGTTGAGGTTGGATATTAGGAAAAACTCTCACTAGGAGGGTGGTGAAGCAGTGGAAGAAGTTACCCAGAGAGGTGGTGCAGTCTCCATCCTTGGAGGTGTTTAAGACCCAACTAGACAAAGCCCAGGCTGGGATGATGTAGCTGGGGCTGGTCCTGCTTGGAGCAGGGGGTTGGACTAGATGTGACCTCCTGAGGTCCCTTCAACCCTCATGGTCTATGGAAGTGTGGTTGGACACGTTCTTGGAGGAAAGGGACACCAGCAGCCTGAGCACAGGAGCGAGGGAGGGGCACGGCCTCTGCATCAGAACATCCCAGACCTTAAACGCTGAAGGCTGCAAGTAGAAGAACGGGGGAAACCCCTGCTCAGACCCACTTCACTCTCCCTCCCTCCCAGCATCCGCTCTCTGCTGCTGTGTGACACAGGAGATGGGCAAGATGGACTTATGATCTGACCCAGCCAGTGTGGGCTCATGGTTAAACCTCTCCTCTGGGACTGGAGCATCCTGGATACTGCTCCTATTTACTCTTTAGCTTTGGCTTTATCAGTGTCTTGTTCCTTCTGCAAATCCCCAGGTCCTCAACCTCCCTCCTCTGACGTTACACATGTTCTGCTCCTCAATTTTCCATTGAACAAGAAGTCAGGGGACAGCCTGCGCTACCCAACGAACCTTGTCCGCCACGGGGCAGATTTCATGCCAGAGGCAGACCGCTGGCACCCGTCTAACCCCTCGCCTCACACCATCCCTTGACCTCATCCTGGCTTCGGAAGAGACACCGGAGCCGTCATCGCT